GCATTCCTGTTCATATGCCAACAAACTGAAGCACCACAGTTTTTTTTTAAAAAAACACAGATACCAGACTGAATACAACTGGGCATTTGTGTTTCTCCTCTTCAGTCCCTGACTCCAAGGCCCAACTGCTGTTTGGAGGCAGTCCTCCTATTGCTGAAGATGCAAGCCCCAAATATTATAGATATCACTCAGATTTTCTGCTTAGTACTCTTTGCTGCTGCTGACATCAAGGGTGAGGGGAAGCAAACAAGAAAGAAGCTAAGGGGGAGAAAGTTGCTGGAATCCAGAGAGGGGGCTTCGTGTACCTCCAACCCTAAAACTGTGAGCCTGATATCAAAGTTTCTTTTAAAAAATTCCAGTGGATTTCAGCAAATTTAGCATTTATTAATATGCAAATCAAAAATACATCATTAAAAAAGGGTTCTGTAAAACATAAAAAAGATAGATGGGCTATAAATCAAGTAAATGATTTTTGTACAGTTGCCACAGTACTTCTGTGGGATCAGTAGCACAAGATTGGCCCTAATTGCTCTGCACCCCTCCTCCACCGATTATTTGCACAGATGTGTGGCCCCCATTGGCCTGTTTAAGAAATAGGTCTGTAAACCCATTACTAGAATTTGGCATGCACGGGCTACATTTTCCCATTGAGCAGAACAGAAACTGTATGCAGTTGCTTTTCTAAAAAATTACTTGACCAATAATGACCTTAAACAGTACATTTCCTGCGGAGAAATTGACAGCCCAAGACACAGCCAACTGCAATTAACTCCACCCAGTCATTAATTGCTGGGAAATGTTTGGCGCCAAGGATATTATCTGTAGTTCTGAGCCGGGAAAAACAAAGCAAATCCCCAAACATTTGGATGATGTTTTAGTAACTAAGTATACAGAACTAGCAAACATCTCTCATTATATGGGATGGTATGTGTATGGAGGGACGACTTGTAGAACACAAGGACCCTTGAATGGTGCAAAGTCTCTCTCCAGTGGCAATAGTGTCTCCAGTGCAATAGTGTCCCCGAAATTTGAACTTTATTTTCTCCTACAAGAGTCTATGGCAAGCATTCTGCTATATGGAAAAAGAAAATATGGGGACATCTTGGGATAAGTACTAAATCTGCTCCCTGTCCTTGGTGAACACAGCCATCCTGGATTCCGTCCTGGATTTTGTTTTTGTTTTGAACACAGTGGAATGTGCTGGAATGTTGGAGGATATCCTGGCAGACTTCTGAATTAAATAACCTGTTCTCTAATATGATTATTATAACCAATATGAAGTGGAAAATTAACTACAGTTCGTGATATTGTGTCTGTGAACTGTAAAATGAATATTATTCTCTGAACTGAATGTCTGGCTTAGAGTTCAAGCTGGTCAGAGGGAAAGGGTAGATTGAGGAATGATTCTGTAGATCAGTAATTGTTAGGTACCTGTACCCATCAGCAGAGCTGGACACAGATCTTGCCACCACTTTGTGCCCACTACCTGCATTATAGAGCTGTTAAATATGTGTGTTTGCCTAGTGAGGATTCCTTGGGTGAGGGACACAATTAGGGGTGTGCAAAAAAAGTTATTCTTGATTCAGGTTTATTGGACTCGAAAAATATCAGTATTCCTGAATATTCCCAAATACCAGTATTGTATTGGTATTTGGGTAAATATTCTGGAAACCCAAATTTATTTGGCTCCATTATACCCCAACCGACCGTTCCCATAGGGTATAATGGAGAATTTCACTCACCGAATGATGCCACTGCTGTGGCATGACTCGGTGAGTTCAGAAAGCATTTAAACTTTTAATGCATTCAGTTCACTCACCGAGTCATGCCGCTGACTCTGTGAGTGAACTGAACACATTTAAAGTTTAAATGTTTTCTGAACTCACTGAATCACATGGTGGTGGCGGCACACCTGGGCGAATGAACTGAACACATTTAAACTTTAAATGCCTTTTGAGTTCACTTGCTGAGTTGCCCTGTGGCGGTGGCATGACTCAGCAAGGAAGGCATCTGAAGAGACTGTGGTCTCCTTAAATGCCTTCTAGCTGTGCCTGAATAAAAGCCAAATAATAGTGGCTTTTATTAGAGCATGGCTATTTTGGCAGCTGAATCAGGTTGTCTAATCTGTATTCAGCTGAATAAATACCTGACAAATACTGATAGCTTATTTTTCGGGTATTTATTTGGCTCAGTATATACAGAGTGCACACCCCAAGACACAATCCCTGAAAATTTCATCTTAACAGACAAAGCAAAATCAAAAATGGAGTTTTCATTGCCACCAATTGAAATTAAATAAAAAACAAAGAGGTGTAATTATAATAAAGAAAAGAATAGAAGTTTTTAATAAGGTAAAGGTTCCCTTGCTCGAAAGCCAGTCGAATCCAACTCTAGGGTTGCAGTGCTCATCTCCATTTTAAAGCCAAAGAGCCAGCGCTATCCGAAGACATTTCCGTGGTCATGTAGCCGGCATGACTAAACACCAAGGCGCACGGAGCGCTGTTACCTTCCCACTGAAGTGGTCCCTATTTATCTACTTGCAATTTCTTGCTTTCGAACTGCTAGGTTGGCAGGAGCTGGAACTAGAGACAGGAGCTCACTCCATCATGCGGCACACTCGGGTCTCGAACTGCTGAACTATAGACATCCCTAATTTGGGAGGGGGGGTAGAAGAAGACGAGTATCTTTTCTGTAATGCTTTAACCTGTTTTTTTCTCTGGACTCTGAACTAGCATGTTTGTTACAATTATTTAATTGATCAGGGTTTGCAGTATTTTTTGTGCGGGGGTCATCCTTTTTTTACATTTGAAAGTTTGTAAGCAGTCTGTTTTCCTTAATAGAGATATGTGCTCCTTCAGATGAAAGTAAGGTTGCCTGCATGAAGCAGGAAACTGGTGCGAGACTAACTTGGGGGACGGCTTGCTGGTGACATGGTGATGTTAGTTCTGGTCATGGTGGAAATGAAATCATCTTGCCAGGATGCTGCTGATTCCCCCATTCCCATCCCCCATTTCCCCCCCGCTACCCAGCTGAGTGACAATGGGAAAGTCTGGCAGGGAGTGAGAGGTCTTCACCTGTAGCAGGAGACCTTGCAACCCTGGCTGAAAGTGACCCCCACAGACAGTGGGCACTGGAAGCAATAACAGTAGTTGGATGGCTTCCAATAGTGCTTATAGCAATTAGATTATAAATCTATATAAAATCTTGCAAAATATCTGCATAGTGATATACTGTATTGGCTATATAATACTTTGAAAAGTCTTAAAATGAGCATAACCAATGTCCTACTTGGAGTAAGTGTCAGGGTCCTTAGTCAGGTTACACAACACAGGGCTTCATGAGAAGATAACTGTTTATTGGTAAATCCAGTACTGAAGACATGTGTACAGCTTGTGTCAGGAATGGCTGACAATACTAGGGCCTCTGACTTATACTAGAATCAAACATTCCCACTGGTAAGCATAAGCCAATGGATACATTTTGCACGCACAAGTAAAGCAAGCAGGCAAAGCAAAAGCCGTTAGCTTTCCCAGCTGAATAATACTGCAGCTGGAACATCTATAAGATAACATACAGTTGGTGAGCCAGGGAGAGCTGAGACAGAAAACGGGAGGGTACCCCGCCACATTCCAGACCCATGACAGGGCTACCTGACAGTAAGCTAGTATATTGACCAGATCTACCTGCCATTTTTTGGGGGGGTTAGAAACCATAGTCTTGTTTCTTAGAAATCTGATACTGGTAGGCTTATGTATAAATTCTGTGATCCATGAGCCAATTCAATACATTCTGTTAAGGTCCTACTTGATGTTTTAGTAGCTTAGTAGAGTTCTTCCACTTCCACAAAACATTCCCAAGGTTGCTGTAAATTAATCTCTGAACAACATTATGTAATCAGTAAGTCAATGTGGTCAGAGAGGATATACCTTTTGACAACTGCGGAATGACTAGTTATTATGTTTGTTCTCCCAAAAACTGGCTGACTGAAGTATATCCTTCTTTGCTTGTTTAAACAAAATATAGTCGGTTAAAAAGAACAAAAAATTATCAGACATAATCTTTAAAACAGTTATTCAGATCTCTGTTTACACAGAAACAAGTATAAAGAAGCAACAGTTTTTTAAAATGGAAGTATGACTAGGTTTTGATACATATTCTATTTTTATATAGCATTGTTCATTTTTATTTTATGCATCCTAGGGTTGCCAACCCCCCCGGTTTGCAAGGGGTCCCCCGTTTTTTGGGGGGTTCTACCCGCCGCTGGCCAGATGGCCGGCGGGGGAAGCCCCACCTCCAACACCCACAGCCACCCATCTCTCTCCCTTTAAGTGTGTGGAACCCGTGTTTCCTCCCAAGCCTGATCTCCGCAAGCTTGCAGGGAAATGGGTTTGTGCTCTTAAAAGGGAAACGCGGCTGCTCTTAAAGGGGAAACTTCGGCTCCTGCATTTAAAAGGGAAACACCTGCTACTTTAAGTGCAGGGAACTGCTGTTTCTGGAGATCTGGCGCATGGACGGGTGGGGGCGGTGGCGGACATCCCCAACATGATGTCATCATGTCGGGGATGCCACGCCCCCTCCAGGAACGCCCCCAAATTCCCCCGCTGGGGTGGAAGATGGACTTGGCAACCCTAATGCATCCCAAAGTCCTTCCACTTTTTTCATAATGTCATAACGGCTTCAGCAAACCTATCAAATTCTGCCGTTGAAGGACAAAATATGGGTTTTCAACTCTGATTTATATATGTGTATTTTCTGCTGTTGAATTTTTCTCTCCCTATCCCAACTTTTCAGTTCCACCCACTATTTCTGGTGACAACGAAATGGTGACTGTTGTGGTTAATAATCCAGTGAGACTGGAATGTGAAGCTCGTGGAATCCCTGTTCCCATTCTGACATGGTTGAAAGATGGTAGCCCTGTTTCTAGTGTTTCAAATGGACTCCAGGTACTTTGATGCAAAGGTTAATGTTTGCATTGCACTGAACTATTTGAAGCAGTTTATCAAATGGAACCAATGTTGGGTGTCAGGTAAGATGTTGAACTGGTTCCCACAATGAGAGTGCCACAGATACCTTTTCTGTGAAAGCTGTTACAGCTTGTTTGCCATAGGACAGAATTCTTTTTCTGCCCTAAGCCTTCACTAGTTTCTCCAAAGTTATTGTTCCTCAGAAACCCATATTAAAGAGGGTTACCCTGTGGAACAAATGGGAATTTGATTCATGCTGTTGTTTTAGGATTAAGTGAAGATATGGCAGAGTTAGCAGACCAGCCATTCATGGATATGAGTTGTTTGGGGGGGATTGGTGTCACATTTCAGATGAGTAGATGCACAATAATACAACAGTAAAAGTCATTTAGAAATATATTAACAGATTATTGTGTAAATAAAAGCACGAAGCATGAGAAATGGGGCATTATGTTTTCTAATATGTGATTGTGCTTGTCAATTATTTTATCCAGGTCGTGCCACTTGTTAACAACTCTATTCCCTTTTTAGATTCTTTCTGGCGGCCGCATTCTGGCACTGACAAGTGCTCAGATCAGCGATACAGGAAGGTACACATGTGTTGCCGTAAATGCCGCAGGGGAGAAACAGAGGGATATTGATCTCAGAGTTCATGGTGAGAGTCCACTACAGCTTCCTAAATGTGAACAAGGAAAGCAGTATCAAAGACTTATGTTTGCATGGGTTAAGATAAATAGTGTATTTACAGTTGTATGCTAGTTTGATAATAATTTCCTGTCCACAGGAAATCTTAACTATAGATATTTTATCGAAGAATTATCAACTCCTTCTCCAAACTACAATTCCCAGGATTCTTTGTATTTGTGATGAAATCAATATGGTTAATTCCTTGTTTTATGCACAATTCCAGCTGCATTCCAAAGCAGAACAGACTGGTAAAGACACTGGGCCTCTTAAGATCAACTTGATTTGCAGAGCGGTTGACCTCAAACCTCTGTCAGTATGGGCAATTCATGCAGTAGGGCAGGCCTCTTAAACATAAGGTCCTGGGGGATTTATCAGGCCTTAAAGTCTTCCATTATGAGTTATGGCACTCCCACCACACTCTACACATTACTGAACCGTCCTCAGGCTACTGTGCATCTGGTTTACATAATGTATTCATATGCATGTGTTGACACTTGGCTTTTTGAAGCACAAGAATATTTTCCTCTGGGACCAGAGCACTAAAAGGCAAATATGTATATATGCACAACGTTTTTTACTGTCATGTTCACGCTAGATGTTTTTAAAGTAGGTGGCTTGTCAAGTCTGCAGGATTTTTTCCCCTGGGTTTGTTTTTTTTGGTTTATTCTGTCTAAATGAGCTCGTTTAATATTGCACTGAGCTAGAGTCTGCATTGTTAGCAGAAAAAATATGATTGTGGCTCTTGGGGATTTGCTGGGTGGGGGATTTGGCTGGACAACCCATTTGAGTTTGACAGGCCTGTGGTGTGGAGTTATGTTGTGTCTTGTCTGTTTCCTCTTGCCCACACAACACACCAACATAAGCTATCCCTAGAGCTATGCAGTACAGGTGTGAAGAAGTTTAATTCACTTTAACTGGTGAACCCAGAAGAGACATTTAAAGATTACACCCTCATGCACCTGCTTCTTGGCAACAACCACAGATGATGAGTAACATCTAAATGGGCCTTTAGTTTAGTCAGTACGCTGATGTTGGGCGGCCAGTCGGACTCCAGACCGGAAGACCTGGACTGGGCTTTGCAGGCTGTGGCTGGTTGGCTTAGGCTGAGTCAGCTGAAGCTGAAACCAACAAAGACAGAGGTCCTGTGTCTGAGTCGGGGCAGTTTGGGGGTAGGGATCCCACTCCCAACCTTTGGTGGGGCACCATTAGTGCCAACGCCGGAGGTTAGGAGTTTGGGAGTGCTCCTGGATCCCTCCTTAACAATGGAGGCCCAGGTAGCAGCCACTGCTAAGT